CCAAGCTTCCTCCTCCCCCGGGCGCGCCAAGGACCGGATTTGTGGGCTTCCCAGCCCGGCGGGGGTAAGGACAGGAAGCAGCTCCCATCATGGCACTGGAGTTCCAGCAGGTCCTGCCCTGGGCCACAGCCCAGACTCCTCAGCCCAAAGTGGCGCTGCCCCCACCCTCATAGCAGGCCGAGGCCCCTGCGGGCCGCCGCTCCCGCCCCGCCGCGCTGCGCCCGCAGACCCGAGTGGCTCCCGGAGTCCTCCGAGCCGCATGGGTCGGGTCCTCCGATCCACTCCGCGCCCCACGAGGGTGCCCAGCGGCTTCGCCCAGAAGGTCTCTGATCTGTCCGCTTTCCGGAATTGCTCTCCTAGGACCGGGTCCTGTGTGGCCCAAGTCCTCTCCTCCTCCAGAAACACTTTCGGGAAGAAGCAGCAGAAATTCGGGGCTCGTCTGCCATGACTCAGATCAACTACTTTCGTCTCCTACCTAAACGCTTTTTCACACGCGGAGTTCCAGGAACCTCGCGTGTGACCCTCCCCAAATTCCAATAGCCTGGACCCCAAGAAAAAGCTGTGACTCTGTTACTAAATCCTAAAAACGCCACCCGTTCTCTAGCCCCTAACTCCGACCTCCAGCCCTCTGCTCTGGCCAGCGTGTAAACTACTTATCGGTCCTTCAATCCCGATTCTGTAAACGGTCTGGATCCTATAACCCAAACTCTAGCCTGGTCCTAAACCCAGCCCTAATTCAGGGCCGATCCACAACCCCCTACCCCTCAATTCCCAACCCGGGTCTCCCTACCGCGCGGGAACCCCCTGCTCCCCCGTGAAGAGCCCCAGGAAACGGCGGCCCGTTTCGCTCGTTTCGTCCCGGGGATCCGGAGCCAGGAGAGCCGCGTCACCTAACCCGAAAGAAATGCAAACTTTGCGCGGCCGATTCGGGACCCTGCCCCATCCCCCTCAGCTCTCTGCTCTTGAGCGCTTTCGGTCCCCTCTTTTACGAACTCATCCTCTAGTTCTCGAGCCAGAAGGGCTCCCGAGCCCCAAGCCTCGCGCGGGCCCCTACGCCCGCCTCACCAAAGATCCCCAACAATCACAGAAAGGCAGTGACCCTTCTACACGTTCTCGCTCCTCCCTGGGTGAGGGTCCCTGCGCGTAGCCCCTCGGATCGTGGCTTCCTGGACCCCACCGGTGTTCCCCTGTCCCCACTGATCCGCCTGCAAAACCCCATTCGCCCTGCCTCCCCAGGCCCGGCCGGCCGCCGCCGCCGCGGCTCCTGGACTCCTCTGGTCACCCGGCCCCAGTCTGGGGCCGCTCCCGCTTCCAGCCGCTCGGAAGCTGCTCCAGGCTGGTGGCGCCGAGTAAGCGCCGGCCCCAAGGACGCCCGAAGCCGGGAGAAAGAGAACCTGGAGCGGGCCCGCGGTTCCCAGCCTCGCCCCGCGGAGCGCCTGGCCGGGAACCTCCTGCACCCGGGCTCCGGCCGGCGTGCCCTTCCCTGTTCTCGGGGCCCGGGGCGCTCCCGGCGCACAGCTTCCCGCCCGCCCGCTACGGGGTTGGGCCCGCGGCGGTCCGAGTCCGCAGCCCAGCTCCTCGCACCCGCGGACAATGCGCGGCCGGCCACGGGGCCCGAGCGCGGCGAGGCGGCGGCGGCGGCGGGGTTGCGCGCTGGCCGGGCCGGGGAGCGGGCGGCCCGCGGGGCTCTCGCAGCCTCCGCGCCCGGCCTCGCCGCCCTCGCGCTGCTCCGCTCCGCGCTCTCCCGGCGCTTCCCCAGCTTCTCTCTGCACGCTCCCGCCGTCCCTCGCTGCTCCCTGCCTCCCTCCTCCCTGCTGCCTCCCTCTCTCTCCTCCCTGCTGCCTCCCTCTCTCCCTCTCTCCTCCTTGCCCTGTCGCAATGAATAATACTCTGGCTTGGGGACTGGAATAAAACACACGCGCTCTGAGGCAGCCGCCCGCAGCAGCAGCCGCCGCCGCGCCGCCGCCGCCGCCTGCAAAAGCGTCTCTGACATGGAAATGAATGACAGCTTACCTGATGCCAATCTTCATCAGACTGACACCGGCGTGACAACACAGCCTATACTTCCCAGCACTGCTCGGGACGTCAGCGGCACAGGGACCCGCCCCCCGGACCCCCCCTTCACACACCTCCCCTCTCCCCACTCCCCCTTTCTCCCCACCCCCCATCACCCCCACCCACTCCCGGCCCGGCCGCTGCCAAGTCGGAGGAGCCGCTGGAGTGTCTCCCTCTACCGGAGGCTCTCGGGCGGCGGGCGCGGGCCTGCTCCTGCGGCGGGGAGGCGGGCAGCCTGGAGAAGCGGCTCCACTCGCGGGGAGCCTCGGATGGGGAGCGCGGGGGACCCCCCTCCCCAGGAACTCAGGAGCAACCTCCTTCCCCACAAGGCAAGTCCTCCTTTAGCGAACAACCGGGGCCGAATTCCAAGACAACTGCTGGTGCTGAGAGGACCGAGATGAGGTGAGATTTTCTGTGGACCCCAAGAGAACTCCCCAGAAATGATGAAACTTAAAACGGGCAAGAAATCCTTCTTTCCACAGCACTCCACCTCCCCCCTTTCCTGCCTGGCTGGCCTCATTTTTATGATTGCATTTGAATAATTCTCATTACCCTGGCCCCAGAAAAGGTGTTCAGATGACACTCGGGTTAGTTATTCCTGGTCTCAAGAGCTTTTTCTGCTGTGGGCTTCCCGGGGTGTCTGGTTCAAGGTGGGGCAGAGGGAGAGAGGAAAGAGTGGAGAGGCTTTGTCAGTAAAGCACCTCTTTGCAAATGTCAGGCAAGCCGCTTCTAAGCCACTGCTGTTTCCATTCTAATAAAAAGTCCTCAAGAAACTCAGTGAGTTCCCAGAGTTCTAGGGGCTGGGGTGCAGTCATATAAAGGGAGAAACCAGCTGGGCTGCTTCAGCCTAGGCCTGCTGCGGTGGCTTCATCTACATCAGGGAGGAAATCCGCCTCTTACCTGTGCCGCCTACAGCGGAAGACAAAGCAGGCATGTGTGGACCCACAAGTGCCTGCGATCACTCAACAGAGATACAGTCCTACTAAGAGCCACCTACTAGAGCATACAAGCCTGCTTCCACACTTAGCACATGGTCCTCTGCATAAAGGGACAAGAGAATCCCTTCTGCCCCTGGAAGTTTGCTTCTTGCTCCCCATAGCCAGTCTGCCAGCCATTGATACTCTGACCCCAGGCCAGGCAGGGGGCCTGGATGAAGCCCGGACAAAGACACCAGTGTAAGCGGGAAAGCAGAAAGTGAAACCAGCCGCCAGGTTTTCAGTAAAGAATTTGACCCAAGGAGTAGAAGGCTGCCCCCAGCTCTTCCCAGGCCTCTGGGTCACCGCTCACCTGCCTCCATCATGGGCAAAAGATGAGAGCTGTTAGCATTGCTGGGCTCAGGGAGGCAATTGAGACCTTTCTTACATCACATCCCAGATGCACACACTACTGCTTGTCCAGATCCTCCCAGTACCCCTCAAATCCATACTCCAACATTCCTTGTGGGAGAAACTCTTCAGTGGTAGCCCCCATTATAGACAGAGTAGAATCCTCTCACCTTCACATAGAACCTCCAAAAATTTCACTAGGTGGATTTATGTCACCCTAGCCTCTGATCTGCGGTCAGAGTCTCTGGCTGCTGACAGCATAATCGCTATTATATATTATACATTGTATAATAATATAATAATAATGAATGCACTTGCCCTTTTTATGTGGTACAGAAGCGGCCAGATTCTCCAACCCAGAGGCTGGAGGTCAGGCTGCCATAAACTCTCAGAGGGAAGCCCTCTTCAGATAAGGGAGGGGGAGGGGAGATCCATTTGTCTCTGCCCAGGACCCCTAGAGGGAGGCGTTTCTCTCTTTCCTATGGTTCCCAGTGAGTTCCTACAGCCTGCAGAGTCAGAGGGGAAAATCAGGCTGAATTCGACCCATCAGAGAGATGTCAGTGAGCCATAAATAGGGCCGCAGGCAACAGCCTTGCATCACTCATTTACACTGGTCACGCCCCTCATTTTCTGACATCTAGTTCAGTGCCCAACACTTTCCTGATATGGGAGATCCATTGCCATGAGCTATTAATTTTTGGAGTCTTTACTATGATTTTCACTAATACCTTTTGGGTGCTTTAAATTGCAGATCACAGTTTTAAGTAAATATATCTTGCTTTGACTATTTTTGTCACTTGCAAGAGCTTAAAAAATGATTATCCAAACTATAACCGTCATTTTTATAAGCACTGAAAGCAAATATTTGCCCTGCACCCACCAGAAGCTTTGCTGTGTATTAGCACTAAGAATAAACAGCAGAAGCAAAGAGGCTCAGGTTATGGTTCCTGTCCTCAAGAAGCATTCATTCTAGTTGAAGAAGACAAAGCACCCGTATGTAAAACATTAAGTAGCAATAATACAGGAATCAACAGAAGACACAAGCTAGTGAATAATTAATGAACAAATGAGTTGCCAATATGTCAAATTCCAAGAGTTCCACATATCAGTTTTGGCTCTGTCAGTGAGGAGAGTAGGGATAGAGTAGAAATTAAGGATTCACTACAGATACTCTACAATTTCTTCCCCACCATCCCTTGAAGATGAAGAAGAGGATGGAGAAGAATGTACATGCTGTATTGTATAAGCTATTAACACATTGACATTATAACCAAATAGGAGTTTCTACAAATCCTAGTCATCACTCCTAAATGTTGGAGTTCCTGTTTGGTTCTGGGCCCTCTTCTCACTCTACCTGCACTTTGTCTTACGTATAAGCAGCCCACACCAGCCCAGGCTGTCTCCTCCAAGCTTCCAATGTAGGTGATCAATGGCCCAACTGAACTCTGCCTGTGACACTGTGAATAAAAATATAAGACCTGTCTGTATCAGTTTGTTCTAGCTGCCATAACAAAATGCCATACACTGGGTGGATTCAACAAGAGACATTTATTTTCTTACAGATAGGGAGGCTGGAAGTCCAAGATCAAGGTGCCAGCAGAGTCAGTTTCTGGAGAGGCTTCTGCTCCTGGCTTATAGATGGCACCTTCTCACTGTGTCCTCACATGGCCTCTCCTCTGTGTACACAGGCAGAGAGACAGCTCTGGTGAGCTCTCCCTCATCTTGTAAGGACACCAGTCCTGTTGGATTAGGGCCTATGCTTAGGACCTCATTTAACCTCCCTAAAGGCCCTGTCTTCATATACAGTCACACTGGGGGTTAGGGCTTCAACATATGAATTTGGGTGGCGGGCACAATTCAGTCCATAATACCACCCAACTA